CCCTGTCCTGGCTGGCTACCATCACTGGCAGTCACCTTGTATCTGCAAAACCACTGTTGCAACTTCTGTCTCATGGTCTCTGGTTCTCTCATCTTCTTCCTTAGATATTTGGAGTACCTAGCTCTGAAGACCTTGGAGCGAGGCTTGCATATCTGAGATCTCTGCCATGGAGTAGCACTTGCCATTGGTGGACAAGAGGCCATGTTTCAATGCATGGAGAAGTTTCTCATAGTCACCTGGTAAGTACACGTACAAGCAATCCAACAGGTCTGACATTGCTTGAAAGTAATCAATGTGTCCTTTCCTCAAAGTCGACAGGATTCTCTTCTCATAATGAAACAGGCCTAGCCTTCCCTCGATTCCTGGAAAGAGTATCCCCCAGTAGTTATCCTTGTTGGGCCAAGTGTCGCTGTACATGGCAGCAGGATTGAAGTGGCTCCTCCTTGCTAGCTGCATGGCTGCATGGGAGAAGTGGATGGTCTTGGTGGTGGGAACCAGAACTGCAGAAGCAATCTCTCCAGTCTCAGTAGCAGCATCCCAAACAGCACCAGCACCAAGACTCTTGGAGTAGTTCTTGACCACCTGAAAGGTATTATCTTGACAGAAGATTCCTTTGTCGCACTTGACACTTTGGATCTCTCTTGTGTGTCTTTGGTTGTCACTGATCCTCCACGGATTCCTGTTTGAAGCACAAGCAGCATCATAGATGTCACGGATGGTGTCACCAAGAGGAGGAAACTGTCGTATGTAAGTGCCATCCTTTTGAAGAAAGGGATCTGGATCAGTGTCACTTCCCTCCCAATAGGAGAAGTATGATGTCATGGACCTAATGAACTCTCTGTTGATTGCATTGTAGATGAGCCGGCTGCAGAGTTCTCCATTTCCATAGGTCAACATGATGGATTCGAAAGTCTCAGTGGCAGTTCTGTCCAGGTGACATGCCTTCTTTGGAAGGGCATACTTTGACTCCACAGGATAGAGGAGAGCAGCATGCTGTGGGATTGTGCACAAGACTTCAGCACTGTTGGCATCAACCTTCTCTTGCAGCAGTCGCAGACCATTGACATGACAATGCACCAAGATGGAGCTCCAGTGATGCCAAAGATAGGGAACAAGGTCTTGTTCTTTGACCAGTTATGCCTTGCATTCTTGAGTTGGCCAGAGCATCTTCCATCGGGACAAGATACTGTAATTCCACATCGATTCCAGTCTACGAGGAGGAGTTTCTGGCCAACAATGGCGTGATAGTGTGGTGACTTGAATTGTTCCTCTGTGGATGGAACTGTCATGGTCAGTCCTTCAAAGTATTGCCTGAAGACTTCTTGATTCCTTGCCCTGAGAATGGATTCTGACACTGCTTCTGCCATTGCCAGCATTGCCAGTGGTGCTCCTTTTGTCTTGTGCTTGTCGACAAAGGCGGTATCCTTTACAAGAGTGTTTACCTTTCGACAAAGAGCTAGTGGAGTTGTGTTGGTTGTGTTCCTTGTGGATGTCTTCTTTTGCCGGCTCGGATTGGCTGTGTTCGTTCTAGCAGCGAAGAAGGCATCTCCATTCTCTCTTGTTGAGTGCTTCCAGCTTCCTCTCTCATTCAGTGGAAGAGGAGCACTGAAGTGCCTTGTAAGTCTTCTGCTCTCTCTGATGGTTTCCATGGTCAGCTCATTCAAATCTCCTCTTCCTCTTGTTACTGTATTCTTAATACAGAGAACGTGGTGTGATCTTTTTGGGATTCTGAGACCAAGATGTCTGGCCTTACAGATGACACACTTCTTGAGTGGATCAAAGACTTCTGCTACCTCTCCTCCCAGTGTTGTTTGGGGTCCTTCTTCTCTGGCTCTCTTGGATCTGTTGTTGTTGTTGGAGGCGAGTTGATATGCTCTCTTCTGCTGGGCATTCCTATTCTGACTTTGGCAGCCCATCCCTTCATTTTGTGTTGTTGCTGCTGCTGCTGTTGGTGGCTCCATGATGCTTGAGTGGCTGTCGAGTGGCTGTCAAGTGGCTCTGATAATGACTTCTCGGAGCAGCTCCGAGCGAGCGGCAGAATGTCATTGTTGTTGTTGTCGGAGGAATCCTTCTTTCGCGAAAACAGAAACTCGAAAATGGTGACTAGGTAGCACAGTTTCCCTGTAAATACTTATAAATGGTACGTTAACTTATGCTGACGTATTTGCTGATGTATTAGCTTGATTAGCCAATCAGATCACTGCCTTCTACCGCTTTTGCCCTCTCGGTACTCGTAGGGACAGGGCGGAGATGTTCTCCTGTGCGACTAAACGTCAGAGAGTGACTCGACTCATTTGAGTCTCGCGCCAGAGTCGAGTCAGATCCCGGATCATGGGGCTGAGTCCCGACTGGAGGCAATTTCCAATGCTGAAGTTGAACAACAAAGATACAAAAGCAAGAATAGAGCAAGAATAGAGAAGCAAGCATAGAGAGTATCTGGGCGGGTCAAAGACAAGGCCCGCCATCGTGTGTCACAATTCCTTCTTCACACTACGAAACAAACAATATATCATGAAGACCGCTATTCTCGCCTGCCTTGTCTCCGGTGCTGTTGCATTCGCTCCAGCTGCCAAGCCATCCACTGGCTCTGCCCTTGCCGCCAACAAGTACGCCAGTGAGATTGGAGCTCAGGTCCCTTTGGGTTTCTTTGATCCCTTTGGTGTGCTTGGAGCTGAAGACGACACTTTGTTCAATTTCCTTCGTTATGCTGAGATCAAGCACGGCCGTGTCGCCATGATGGGTGTTGTCGGATACTTGACTACCTACGCAGGAGTCCGAGCACCTGGTCACGAGGATGTCCCTTGTGGACTCGCCGCACTGAAACCCGAGAACTGGGGCAGTGAATTGGTTACCACAAACATGTGCTGGACTCTAGGCTTCATTGCTTTCTTGGAATGGTTCGTCATGAAACAGGGAGACGACGCCGCATTCCCTGGTGATCTTTCCAACGGCGTTGGCGCAGACATTTGGAATGGATATGATGAGGCCACCAAGTTGAGGAAGCGATCCATCGAGCTTAACAACGGACGCGCCGCACAAATGGGTATCTTCGGACTTGTTGTCCACGAAACCATGGGTAATGTTAATGTTCTCCTGCCTTTGGCCAAATAAATTGCCAAATAGATCCTTTCTTCCATGGCTCAGTTTTTAAAAAGTACTGTAGGGTTAGCTCGCTAGTACAATTCATTTCTTGCCCTGTAGGATACTGCAGTAAGACGTGTGGATAATTATGTCTAGCTCCCAGCCACGAAGCTGGAGGAGTGGGAACAATTGTAGGAACAGCAGAGAGACCGAAGGGGTGACCTGGCAGTACTAAGGACAACGATTATGTTGCTGGTAAGCCGAAGGGTGCTTCATCAGAATTCAGGGTCTTGATCAAGACCATGCGCAACTCTCAATTGAGCATACTGTCATTCCTTGACGTAGCCACGACTAGTAGTCTCTCGGAGGACACTGATAATCGTTCAAGTCAACCATGCCAGGATCTAGAAATCTCGGATGCCTGAACCACAAGAAATCCAAATCTGGTGGCTCATGGCGAAATGCAGCTGCAGAGAAATGCCAGGCAATCAGAGAAACTACCCAGTGCTATGAAAAGCTCCAAGTCAACGTGATGCAAGAGGACCAATGGCTCTTCCAAGTACCAATCCTGACAATTGATCCACCAATCCACCAATGCAATGAGACAATGGCTCAATGGCTGGAGAACCAAACTGAATTAGAGTTACAAACCCGGTTCGAGACCAGGTAGGTGAGGTGTTTCCCTTCCATATCCCACTTCCTCCATCCACACCCGTGTAACTCTCTCCAAAATCCCGAGGATACGGTACCCCGGTGAGTCCACTCACTCACCAAAAAATAGCGTATAGTACAATTTTACATACACCTCCTGGGGGAGTGTGTAGCCGGTGAGCCACTGGGATGGGAATCCATCATGGTATGGTAGCTGTATCTCACAAACTTCGATTGTGTGGACTGTCGCCTGGGGCCTCGTGCCCCTGACCAGATGGTTGAACCTCCCGCTGGAACCGTTATAGATGTTGCCTTGTTTGTTTGGCGGCTCAAGGCGGAACCAACAGTGCCTCTCGATGCGTCAGCCAACCAGACGTCGACGAATCTCAGATGCAAGGAAGCCAAAACGCCAATTGCCTAAATGCCCTGCGAGACATCCAAGTCCCATGACTGTCACTCAAGGCAAACCAACAGTGCAAGCCAAAGTGCTTCTTGAAAGGGATCTAACCAACCGGCCGTACATCTGGCTGCAGTGTGGCGAGTGGCTCCTCAAAACTTCAATGAAGAGGAAGTTTGACCGCCAGCGCCTGTTGGGAGTACCGGCACTCTCTCTCTCTCTCTCTCTCTCTCTCTCTTGCATGTTTCCAGCATTTGCGTGTTTTGCCTGGATTTGCCATTTTCTTTCCTTTTTTCCTTTCAACCAGAAATTGTAAAGGAAAATCAGTTTGCTACTCTATTGGCTTCTTGGGTGATCAGAGGATGCTCTGTTTCTCAGCTGCTTCTTGTTTCTTGAGACCTCCCCATCGTAGTTGCTACTGTACCGATACTAGTAGCTGGTCCGGAATTGTTTGACGCTGGATCTGACTTGATTCGATCCTTTGAACTTTGAGCACCGAATATTGAAGAAGGGCGATGGTTTTCAGGTCCACTTCAACTACATGTATCATCCTGTTGGCCTTTGCTTCTCATCGATGCAAGCTACGGAAGCCTCGTTGCCAGTTGCCAGCTAGCTAGCGAGCCACAGCCACAGAGATTGCTTGATCACTATTACGGTACGGTACCGGTAGAGAGGACGAAATCGCTTCAACTAACAGCACACGCAAAGCAATGAAATGTCAACAGCATTGTTTAAAAGGGGCAGTCTACACAGCTAGAAACGGCGCAAAACACGCTTTGTGCCATTTGCACAACTTATTTGAGCCTTGCTACCTGACGAACAGATCGAGGGACGCGGCCTTTTGTCTGTAGCTCAGAAACCATAATCACAATCAAGCCTCGACGAGATCCTCCTTCTTGGCTGGGCCCAAGACGGATTCAGGCATGACGGAAGAGTGGTGGTGAGAGATCTTCCACTCACCATCTTCATACACATAGACAAAGGAGTAGCGAGCCTTCACATTGGATCCATCAGCTCCCATCTTGAATTCATAGATGCCACAATCCTTGCACCAGCCATCTCCAGCGGTGGCAAAACTTTCTAGAATGGTTCCTTGTGGTTTCTTCAACAGAAAGGCATCAAAGTAGTCCTTGATGGAATCATAATCAGTACGGGGAGTATCAGAAACAGTGGGAAGTAGAACAGCGTTCTTTGCATAGCACTTGGCAACCTTATCAGAGTCAAGGGTTGCAAGGGCATTATTCCAAACACTAAAAATGGATTTGACTTCCTTTTCTTCAATCTTGGGGCCAAGCTTGGGTTGCTCCGGCATGGCAGAGGAGTGATGGTGCGAGATCTTCCATTCACCATCCTCATAGACATAAACAAAGGAGTAGCGAGCTTGAACCTTAGCACCAGAAGCACCCATTTCAAACTCATAAACACCAACATCCTTGCACCAGCCATCTCCAACACTAGTGAAGCTTTCCAGAATGGTTCCTTGAGGCTTGAGCTTGAGGAAGTTGTCAAAGTAGTCCTTGATTGAATCATAGTCTGTACGGGGAACATCAGAAACGGTGGGGAGAAGGACAGCCTTGCTAGCATAACGCTTGGCAACCTTGTCAGAGTCAAGGGTTGCTAACTCATCATTCCATAAGTTGAACAACTGTCCAACTTCTTTTTCTGTGATCTTGGGGCCAAGCTTGGGTTGTTCAGGCATGGCAGAGGAGTGATGGTGTGAGATCTTCCATTCGCCATCCTCATAGACATACACAAAAGAGTAGCGAGCTTGAACCTTAGCACCAGTGGCTCCCATTTCAAACTCATAAACACCAACATCCTTGCACCAGTTTGATCCAATGGTGACAAAGCTTTCAAGGATGGTTCCTTGGGGCTTGAGCTTGAGGAAGTTGTCAAAATAGTCCTTGATTGAATCATAGTCAGTGCGGGGGACATCAGAAACAGTGGGAAGGAGGACAGCATTCTTGGCATAACGCTTGGCAACAGCATCAGACTCAAGAGTATCAAGGGCATCATTCCAAAGTTGGAAGAGGTTCTTGACTTGCCCTTCAGTGATTTCGACGCTGGTGCCCTGCTCAGGCATCATGGAAGAGTGATGGTGAGAGATCTTCCATTTTCCACCCTCATAAGCATAGACAAAAGAGTAGCGAGCCTTGACTTTGGATCCATCAGATCCCATGGCAAACTCATAGATCCCAGTGTCACTGGCCCAGCCATCTCCAATCTTGATTTTCCCATCAAGGATGGTGCCTTGAGGTTTCTTCAACAAAAAGGCATCAAAATAGTCCTTGATGGAGTCATAGTCTGTGCGGGGAACATCAGAAACTGTGGGCAAGAGCATAGTGTCAGATGCATAGCGTTTGGCAACAATACGGGAGTCTCCTGTGGCTAGCGCATCGTTCCAAAGAGAGAAAAGGTCACGAATCTCGCTGTTCGAGACGTCCTTGGGGGCCGGCGCTGTTTTGCCCCAGTCAAAGAGGCCAACCTGAGTGGAGCTTGGTGCAGCTCGGGGGGGTGTTGGAGCAACGAATGCATGGCCTCCGGGCAAAGCAAACGGGGCCAGGGCAGCAACGAGGACAGAGACGGGAAACTTCATCGTCGAGGTAGAAAAAGAAGTATAATGTAGTGACTTGTGGGTGGTTAATTCGAAATCAATTCAAATAAAATCCTTGATTTCTACGTTTATTTCTATACTGAGTCCGGTATTGGATACTCAATTTTTCGCAACGTCACCCTCATACGTCAAATATTTCAAGGATCACATCAACTTCGTGTTGCTGACGAGGCTACCTCGGAGAGAAGTGCGTGCGGGGTCAACATTGACCTTCGCTCTCGTGAGGTCGGATCTTTCCTTGCAACCGGAAAGGAGGGACGATGGGTGGAGGGTCAGATGCTCCAGCAGTACCGGTAGGCACTGGAGCCGTCCCGGGCTTGCACGATTGATTTTTCGCGGAAAGCAATCCAGCAAATACTAGTCTAGAACTTCCTTCGCAGCCAGGACGAATAGTTCAGTATTGGCCAGCAAGATAGGTGCAAGCTAGCTAGTTGGGAGGTATTAGTAGGTCTTCAACATCAATGGGGCGTTTCACGTTGCGTTTGAGATCAACGGGTTGTGTCAGTTTTTACTGGCTTTGAAACGGGCAGGAATTGGCTGTACCCCTCCAACTTCCCTGGGAGGGTCTCTTAACAGTGGTCCCGCAGCAGGTACTGAATTTCTCGTAGGGTATGAGAAAGAGACAGGATCGAGCTCCAATTATTGAAGCATCCATGATTGGGCCGATCGGTACCGGTGGGGCACAACCACTCCGCCATCCACAGTTTAGTTAGTGAGCAGATTGCCCAGTTCACTGCAGTCCATCATTTATTACAAGCAGAACAACTCGGCGAACTTTCAATCCAATCTGCAAACGGTAGCATTCGAAAACGCGCCATCACTTGGTAGGGGCCCAATAGAGATTCATCAATTGAATGTCATATACCGTAGGCATTCCACAGAGACAAGCAGACTCTCGGCACGGTAGTAACACAAGTGGATTGCGCACAGATTAATTTTCATATCCAGCTTCCCCAATAAATATCGTCTTTTGTTGAAGATATAAAGTTGATGAGGAGCTCATCGGTGCTCCATCCAATATTGATCCAGACATCTCTACCCAAACTCCGTTTGTTTTATGGGTCCTCTTGGGGTGATCTCATAATCTTCTGGGAGTTTGGCCTCGCACCGCACATGATGGAATACCCTATCAATCCACAAAAGAGAAAAGGAGTTTGCGTGAGTCAACTAATCAAAGAACCGCAATCAAACCCAGTCAATGACGAGAAGAGAGAGATCAGAGTAACGAGCCCAGAATATATTTTCCGTGGCAGTTATATGACCCCCGAGGACAGTATTTGACTCCGACCATCCTCAGGAGCGCCTCAAGCAAAAACTCCGGCTTAATGGAGACGAGCTCTTATTTCATCACATCCCTCACATACATAGTATCCATCAACCAACAAGCTAGCTGGCAAATGCAACAAGCAATCTTACCTAACCATCAATCATCATTCCTTCTTAACGCTGGCCACCGCCGACAGAGCTTGTCTTCAGCATTACGGTAAGCTTCCTTCTTTGCCAACATCGTCGTCGACATTGCTACATTGTGATGATCAACCCATCATCTCATCATCTCATCTCATCTCATCTTCAGCTATGGCAACTCTCGGTTGGAAACTCGCAACCCTTCGTAGCTTTGGTGGCTGTTGGGTGATGACAAAGATCCAGCGGCCGACGCACAGACCATGTCAAAGATCCAACAACGGAAAGTGAGTCCTGTCAAGACTGAGATGCTGTAATTTTAATTATTTTTAAAATTAGCAGACTTTAATTTCAAATTGAGCCCATTGGCGATCGCCGGCGATCGCCAGCGATCGCCAGCGATCGCCGGCGATCGCCAAGATGGCTTGTGGGACTCAATTTGAAATCAAAATTGAGTTTGAAATTGAGTCCCACAAGAGTGTTGCCAGTGTTGCCGGCAACACTGGCAACACTGGCAACACTTGGCAACACTCTTGAGGTGCACAATTTGAAATCAAATTCTGATAATTTTAAAAATAATTAAAGTATCTCAGTCTTGACAGGACTCACCTTGAGTGAATCTGAACGACGATGTTCTGGACTGTGACCATGAGCTTGATGATGGATGCGGGTGCTGTAGTCTGTCTAACTACTACCAGTACTAGCTAGTAACAATCACAGCCAACAGTATTGTAGAACAAGGAACGCAATCCAGAGATAGTTGTTCCTCAAGATGCCTCTCCACAATCACTTGTCAACGTTGGTGATAGTCTTGCTGTTACTTGTCAGCGTCACTGCCAACAGCCACAACTACGAGAATCAGTACGATCCATCGTTGATTCAGAACATTTTGGACTATGGCGCCGTGGCGAATACATCATCAAAAGATTTGGATGCAAGTCGTAAGAATGGCAAGGCGCTCTACGATGCCGTCCAAGCCGCCCACTCGTCAAAAGACGCCAAGACGGTGCTGATCCCCTCGGACAGTTCGTTTGCGTTCATGCCGTACGCTCCCATGGTGGGACTCTTCAACGTGACCATTGTCCTCGATGGATCTCTCACGTATTACGAAGGAGACATGAACGATTGGACTCCATCCAATTTCAGTCAAGATCCCAATCGACAAGTCCTCGATGGTATTGTCATTGATCAGAGTTCGCATATTACACTCACATCTTCCAGCAATAGCGGCGGAGTCGTTTTTGGCAATGGCAATCGATGGTGGTGGTCCAATATCCGACATGGAACACCACGACCCAACTTGATGACCATTGCCAATAGCTTGTATGTGCGCATGGAATACTGGCATTTGCACGATAGTCCAAGATGGACGGCCAACTTTTACGACGTCGCCCATGTCCTCATTCAAAACTGTACCATTCAAGTCAATATCGCTGCGCAACGAGACATGCTCGCACAACACAATCTACTTTCGGAGTCGACAGGACTCCCCACGGTGCCACTCAATACCGATGGATTTGATATTGCCGGCAAGAACATTACAATTCGACACTGTCACGTTGAAAATTGGGACGATGCCTATTGTGCCAAACCACTCCATCAACAATCCAATTTGTCTACGTGCACCACCGATCTACTCATTGAAGACTCGTCCATTACCAATGGAGTCGGTGCATCGATTGGGTCCGTACCACCCCACAAACACGTCAATTGCATTGCCAATACCACCTTTCGACGCATTACATTTTCACATCCCATCAAGGCCATATACGTCAAACCCAATCCGTGTCCTCATGGACCTGCCATTGATGGCACGGGGATTATTCACAATATTACGTACGAAGATATTTACGCCGACAAACCTCTCACATGGCCCATCTATGTTGGCACACAACAACAAAAACAACCCCACGGCGGTGCCGATACCGGATGCGACTTTTTCTATCCATTGCCGCGCACCCATTGTCCTACGTATGGATGTGTTCCTGTGACACGCCTGCAATTGCGCAATGTCTTTATGGAACGAGCGCTGTGGGCACCGGGATTGTTGCGGTGCAATGAAACCGGACCCTGTACCGGATGGGAATTCACCAATGTCACCATTCAGTCGGAATCGACGTTTCCCTCGCGGACGCGCAACTTTCTCTGTCATGCACTGCAGGATTACAAATTCACCAATGTGTCGGTGGGGTGTCAAGAAGAAGAAGTAGAGCACAAAGCGACAATAGCAGACGAAACTTTGACGGCACCAATGACAGTGAATTGAATGGACCAACTAACTAACTGGATGGAATTGGAAGGTGCTTTGCGTTTGCTTGGCCGAATGGAGAACGACACCACGACAAACAAGAGGAAATGACAAAAGGAAACACCTTCACCGTCACACCACGACGTCAAGGAATGGAATGGAAGCACCACCAGAACGAGTCGCAACAAAGCAACAGTAACAGAAGATACTTTGACGGAATTGACCAACTAACTGGAATGGACAGAGGCGCCTGCTTCTGGCCTGCTTGGCCAGGAGCAGAACGACACCGCTACAGAAAGAGGACATGACAAACTGAAAACACCTTTTAAACCACGACAACGAGCCGAACACGAGAATCGGGAGAGGCAGAAAGATAACTGCCGAAACATACGACGTATCTGCCGCCTCTTGTGTCGACAAAGGCGATCCCATGATTCGATTCGATTCGATTCGATTCATCTCCTTCTTGAACCAACAGGTCCCTGTCACAGTGGAGGATACAGCATTTTTAGATAACCATTCCACCGTTCTTCCTCCTCCGACCATGACCCTGGTGCATCGTTGTCGCCGTACCCGGGAGAGACTACTAACTAGTTTTCGCCAAAGCTGCTGAGGTCCTTTCGGTTTCAATGCCGCCTTTCGCTAGCGCTTTTTGCGGGGTATCTTGCTGCTACAAGGCCCTGCGCTGTTGACTAGTATATGAAAACACTACCGGTATGTACAAGTGGAGTCACCAGAGTCGAAGAAACAAAATGGGTGGAACCAGCAACGCTGCGTGAGCATAAACTTTCCAGCTTACTAGTAGTCCAGTTTTATGTCCCCATATCATCGTTCTCAGCTCCTCCATGACCTTCGTGGAAGTCCTTTGTGGATGCACCAGCCTCCGATCTCGAGCCAGCTGGTCAGGAGCTAATTCTCGTACCGGTACAGATACGGTAGGACTAGTACCGTACGTACGGGAGTACCATGTACCATGGTACCGCTACAGGACCAGTGCTTGCACTTCAACAAGTCATTACCTTACCTGCCACAAGTCCGTTCCTCTCCCTTTTCCAACGCATTTGCAACCACTAGAGCAGGTACATCAAGCTAGACTTGACAACAAACTCAACGATGTCAGGGATATCTGACAACGAAACGTCTTCGTAACGATCTGGGGTCAAGTCATACAATGAATTGCTTGGCTTTGGAAATTTCACAACCAAAATGTTGTTGCGCCAGAACACTTGCCTGTCGAGTGTCTTTATTCCTTTGATGCGAAGGCAGTCTTCTTTCGTCTTCAAATACTTTTTTTGAACACGCTGCAGGCACATGTTTTCTTTGGATTGTCCATCTTCCGCAGTATTTTTTCCCCATAGAATCTGGAAGACATATTCCAAGTCTTCACAGTGCCCATAGGTGGTATCACTCCGGCAGTTGTCTGGAAAGCCCCCTGCAATGAATTCACTCGTGATGACCCTCCAGTAGCCACCATCACGTTGCCACTCCACAGGCAGATAGACAAATGTCGGACTATCTCCTTGCTCTGGAAAAAGAACAGCCTTTGTGAATTTCATCTGGGATGATGATGACACGGCATCAGCGGGCTCCACTTGCAGTTTGCAGAAGATCTTGTGCACAGGCCAATCATGTCTCTGACAATCCTGCGAACAGTAGTGAACTTCAGCACATATAGAGCACTCTTTTCTTGTTGGGTTGCGACAAACCATACAGACTGTGCCCCTAAAAGGCACTCGGGTGGGTCTTGGAAGTTTGAGGGGCAACATGGAAATCTCGTCTTCGCTTGCTCCGAACCTCTCCAGGTAGGTTTTCATCGTTGCGTCATCCACTTTGACACCAAAGCCAACAGGACCAGTATGCAAGTCGACGTATGACCCACCCCCATCTCCGACTCCGATGGCTTCTGCTACGTTGTTTACTTGTCGCGTTGCTATGGGGCTGTATCTCAAGTCCTCATCAGAGACAGACAAAAACACGCCAGTTGCCGTGTCATGGCCAAAGGCAACACTCAAAGGACCGTCGTGAATCTCAAATCGAACCATGACTTCAATGAAGAGTGTTTCTTCCCTCCTTAGGCTTATGCGTTGGCTTGGGCTGGCTGCATTGTTCCTTTGCTTGGTGCTTCCTCCCTGTACAAAACACACTCCGTACAACCTAACTGTCACTCTATTGGTGGTACCTTTCACTACGACGAACGAAATTTTCGTCAAAGATATTGCATGCACGAATGAACACAGCCAACCAAGCAGTAGAGTAGTCTGTGACTTTTGCGTCTCTTCCGTTTCTCTCTGGCTGTTTCAGTGGCTTCATCTTCCACTAACAACTGCAAGCCCCTCTACCTCTACTATGACAGAATGATACATTTTTCGCCGGATGGTTGGTTACTTCAAGTGGAATAAGCTGCCACAGCCCCAGAGAATTCATCACCACTCATAGTGTGCCAATTGGATCGTGCCACAATGGTGGCCATGGCATGTTCCCGGTCTCCGTCGAATAGTGCTAGTAGTAGACACCAAAGGCCTTGGTGATGGCAAACAATGCCATGGCAGCAGCAAAGGGACGCCACACTTTTTCGTCTTGCATTTGCCAAACCATCATCAACCCCAATGCATTCACACCACAACGGGTCGTCTCTGCTTTATCCACCCAAGTCCAAACAAGGGCATCCAAAAGATGGTGGCAAACAAGATGGCATCTCTGGTGTAGGAGCCAGCAAAAAGGCGGTACCCACTGTCGACAGTGCTGCAACAATGGACACACTGATATCCGCATCTGGAGCCACGATCTGCTTAGTCTCCATTGATGTTGCCATCGAAACACTACAAACCGAGTCCCCTCTCCTCTCTCCAGAAATGTACCGTATTGTGATCAGGCCAATAAAGCTGAAGTTCAGACTTGCAGAAGATAAAGTGAACCCAGGCGGATGAACCGCGCTGGAAGCGGGCCAAACTGTCCACTTGCCCAAATCCTATAGGTACCATCTCCGTCCCAGAACAAATCCTTGACAAAGTCCAGACTGACTATCTCAACCCCCAGGCCCTGCACTGGTACGGGACCATCTCCGACATCCCCAACAGGCGTATTGTGCTGGTCGTACGGTACGGTACCGATACCTCAACCGGTAAGTGGTAGGAACGGAAACAACGAAACAACTCACTTTTGGCAGCCTGCGCTGGCTGGTCCTCCACAGCTCCAATAAAGAGCAAGTGAGAGTCCATAGCGTTGTTTTGTTTGACTCGACTCGACTCGACTCGACACTACCTGGTACCGGTACTCGACTCGACTCGACACGGTCGCCCCGAATCGAATGAGAATCGAATCGAAAGCTATGGCATATCGAGTCAACTGCGCTTCGCGAAATAATTTTGGCCTTTTTCTGGCCTGTTGCCCAGCACGACTTTATGGGGGGGTTAGGCAGCAGCGCGGGGGAGGGAAAAAGAAGAGGAGAGGGAGAGGGTTATCAGTTGGATTCCCAATTCCGCCGTTGAGAGCATGCAGGGCATGTTCCAGTCATCGTGTCAACACGAAAGAGAGGGGAAACGGCAATGACCACCGGTCTTCGCCCCTGACTCTTAACTCTCCATGTCTGAAGAACAAGTAAATACGTCAGGAAGTACGACCGTAGAGGTTCGTTGTTCCTTGATGACAAATTCAAATTGATTCAACGGATAGGCTGACTGGCTCTTTTTCTCTCTTTTTCCCATCCTTCGCTTGCACCAGACCTTCCCATTATTTTCGAAAATCGACCGAAACTCGCAGCAACCCTCTATTAATACCGATACCACTACCAACCGACTACCACTACCCACCGACTACCACTACTGCTGCTGGTAAGAAGTCAATGCTGCTGCTGTTGTTGTTGTTGTTGTTGATGTTGTTGTTGTTGCTAGCCACAATGGCGACCATGGCATGCTACTAATCGTTCTATCGTCCCCCGTTCGAACAGACACTCGCTCCTTCCTCTACCGACACCGTGACTCCTTCCTCTACGGACACTCCTCTACGGACGATCCTTCCTCTACCGACGCTTCCTCTACCGATACCGACTATTTTGTCTTGAAGTCAGCGACTACGTGGGTAGGGGCAAGACTCTTGGCAACAACAACAACCACTACCACTACTACTCCTACTTCCTCTACGGACGCTCCTTCCTCTACCGACCCTTCCTCTACCGACAATGAGGATCGCTACAAGTCCTTCCTTCTCGAAGTGGCTACTTAGTGTAAACAGCTACCCATTGAATGAGCTGAGGGCAACACGGCATGGAATCACCTGCAAGTATGTGATTTTTGAAGGACAGTATGCTGATGCGAGATTCGCCAACAACCAATTTCATTGTGCTCGCCCGATGGAATTTGCATGGCACATTGTTGAGAAGATGATCTCGCAAGGAGGATGCAAGCCTCTTCCTCCTGATATGACAGGCATCATGGACTACATGTATGAATTGGGACTTCAGAAGAGCCCCAAATGGTACAGTACTGTTCTCTCCACCCTTTATGAAATGTTGGAGGAGACACAGCCCTGTGAAAGGAAGGACATCTTCATTGAGTGCATCTATGGGTTAGTGAGGGAAATGATTATGGATAGCAGCTATGACTTTGACTCCAATGAAGGACAGATATTGATGGATGCTTGGCATGGGTATTGTTGCCACTGGTATGACTACAACAACAAATTTTCCTTTCAGGTTTTGGTTTCCATGAGTCAGAGTTTTGTTGATGATTGCATTGAAGACCTCGACAACCTTGGATTCTTGCAACCACACAATGCTGTACATTGTGGAAATTTTATGTAAGTTACTGGCTAAATTAGAAATGAATTTGGTGGATCTAAACATTGATTGCTTGTTGCTACTTCCCATACCCAGTCAATCTTGATTGGCAATAGGCATCATGTGGTGGTCTACCTCTCCTGTTGGTCAACCACTGGCAGTATCTCTGACAGCAACCATTCGGTGGAGGTGGCTGGTAAGGAGCTGGCAGTATTGGTTGGAATTGCTGCTGCATTAATGCAAGTTGCATCATTTGAATCTGGTGTTGTTGCTGATAGAGAATCAGGTTACCAATGTAATTGTTTGTTGTTTGTGCTACAGGAGGAGCTGCTTGTGGTGGTGGATTGGGTGGTGGAGGTTGGAGCTGTGGAACCGGTTGTGGTGGTGGAACCGGTTGTGGTTGTGGAACTGGTTGTGGTTGTGAAGCTTCAACTGGACTGGTGCACAATGTACACAAGCAACAATCATTTGGTGAGTACTTCTGCCTGTGAGGTTTGAATCCAACAATGAAGTCTGAAAAGAATCGCTCTCCAGTGTCCTTTGGCAATGGCTCTGCATTTGGAAATGGCTTGTCTAGACCAACAGCTTGTGCCATTTCATTCAGGTAAGCCAACTCTGAATGGTTCCAATATGGAACCACCTTCTCCCATCCAGCTGGAATTGACTTCCTTTCTGCCACACTGATTCTTGACAGGAAGGCTCTCTTGTGGCGAATCTTGAGGTTGTATCTAGCAGTGCCAGCAAGGTTGAGTGCATCAGCAAGGCTCCTCCTCATTCCACCATTGCCAAAGTGGGCAAACTTGTCATGGAAAGCCTCTAACTTTGACTCTCCTCTCCTTGATAGGTACTCTGGAAGATTGTGCTTGGAGTTTGGAGAAGGTTGGATTGTGTCATACATGTCTTCCAGTGCCAGGGGATCAGCCAAGTGAGCAGCTTTCTCCACACAGTTCTCTACAGCTGGCTTGGTGTCTTGAGTAAACAAGGTATAGTTCTTGACTGGATCGAGTCGGCCCTGTCCTGGCTGGCTACCATCACTGGCAGTCACCTTGTACCTGCAGAACCACTGTTGCAACTTCTGTCTCATGGTCTCTGGTTCTCTCATCTTCTTCCTTAGATACTTGGAGTACCTAGCTCTGAAGACCTTGGAGGCTTGCATATCTGAGATCTCTGCCATGGAGTAGTGCTTGCCATTGGAGGACAAGAGGCCATGTTTCAAAGCATGGAGGACCTTCTCATAGTCATCTGGTGAGTACTCATAGAGGCAGTCCAAGAGGTCTCCCATTGCTTGAAAGTAATCAATGTGACCCTTCCTCAAAGTTGACAGAATCCTTTCTCATAATGGAACAGTCCAAGTCTTCCCTCAATACATGGAAAGAGCAGCTCCCAATAGTCATCCTTGTGGGGCCAGGTGTCGCTGTACATGGCAGCTGGATTGAAGTTGCTCCTCCTTGCTAGCTGCATGGCAGCATGGGAGAAGTGGATGGTCTTGGTGGTGGGAACAAGAACAGCACATGCAATCTCACCAGTCTCTGTGGCAGCATCCCAAACAGCAGCAGCACCAAGACTCTTGCTGTAGTTCTTGACGACCTGGAATGTATGGTCTTGGCAGAAGATTCCTTTGTTGCAACTGACACTTTGGATCTCTCTTGTGTGTCTTGTGTTGTCGCTGATTCTCCATGGATTCCTGTTGGAGGCACAAGCGGCATCATAGGTGTCACGGATGGTGTCACCAAGTGGTGGAAACTGTCTCATGTAAGTGCCATCCTTTTGAAGAAAGGGATCTGGATCAGTGTCGCTTCCTTGCCAGTATGAGAAGTATGACTTCATGGACCTAATGAACTCTATCTCTGTTGATTGCATTGTAGATGAGGCGACTGCAGAGGTCTCCATTACCATAGGTAACCATTATAGTGTCGAACACTTCAGTAGCTGTTCTCTGAAAGTGACAAGTCTTGTTAGATAGAGCATACTTGGACTCAACTGGATACAGCAAGTAAGCATGCTCTGGGGATCGAGACCAGCACCCTTCCTGCACATGTTTGGCACTGAAACAGTCTCTTGCAGCACTGACACTCCATCGACATGACCATACACCAAGAAGGAGGACCAGTGATGCCAAAGATAGGGAACAAGGTCTTGTTGTGTGACCAGTTTGTCCTTGTATTCTTGAGTTTGCCAGAGCATCTTCCATCAGGGCAGGGTACAGTGATTCCACATCGATTCCAGTCCACTAGAAGGAGTTTCTGCCCAACAATGGAGTGGTAGTGAGGAGACTCGAATTGCTCCTCTGTGGAGGGAACTGTCATGGTGAGTCCATCAAAATGTTGCTGGAATAGTTCCTGGTTCTTTGACCTTGTAATGGATTCTGACACTGCTTCTGCCATTGCTAGCATTGCCAGTGGTGCTCCTTTCTTCTTGTGCTTTTCCACAAAGGCAGTATCATTAACAAGAGTGGTTACCTTTTCACAAAGAGCTACTGGAGTGGCCATTGCTGCCTTTTGTTGCTGTTGCCGCTCTGCTTTGGTTTGGCTGTGTTGGTTCTAGCAGCAAAGAATGCTTCTCCATTTTCTGTTGTGGAATGCCTCCAGCTTCCTCTCTCATTCAGTGGTAGAGGAGCACTGAATTGTCTGGTGAGTCTTCTGCTTTCTTTGATTGTCTCCATGGTCAGCGCATTCAAAGGTCCTTGTCCTTTTGTTATTGTATTCTTTATACAGAAGACAGAGTGTGGTCTCTTGGGGACTCTGAAACAAAGATGTCTGGCCTTACAGATGACACAGTCCTTGAGTGGATCAAAGACTTCTGCTAACACTCCTCTCAAGTGTGACTTTATGGGGGGGTAGGCAGCAGCGCGGGGGAGGAAAAAGAAGAAGAGAGGGAGAGGGTATCAGTTGGATTCCAATTCCGCCGTTGAGAGCATGCAGGGCATGTTCCAGTCATCGTGTCAACACGAAAGAGAGGGGAAACGGCAATGACCACCGGTCTTCGCCCCTGACTCTTAACTCTCCATGTCTGAAGAACAAGTAAATACGTCAGGAAGTACGACCGTAGTTCGTTGTTCCTTGATGACAAATTCAAATTGATTCAACGGATAGGCTGACTGGCTCTTTTTCTCTTTTTCCTCCTTGCTTCACCAGACCTTCCCATTATTTTCGAAAATCGACCGAAACTCGCAGCAACCCTCTATTAATACCGATACCACTACCAACCGACTACCACTACCCACGACTACCACTACTGCTGCTGGTAAGAAGTCAATGCTGCTGCTGTTGTTGTTGTTGTTGTTGATGTTGTTGTTGTTGCTAGCCACAATGGCGACCATGGCATGCTACTAATCGTTCTATCCCCCGTTCGACAGACACTCGCTCCTTCCTCTACCGACACCGTGACTCCTTCCTCTACGGACACTCTTCCTCTACCGACGACTCCTCTACCGACGCTTCCTCTACCGATACCGACTATTTTGTCTGAGTCAGCGACTACGTGGTAGGGCAAGACTCTTGGCAACAACAACAACACACACTACTACTCCTACTTCCTCTACGACGCTCCTTCCTCTACCGACCCTTCCTCTACCGACATGAGGATCGCTACAGTCCTTCCTTCTCGAAGTGGCTACTTAGTGTAAACAGCTACCCATTGAATGAGCTGAGGCAACAGGCATGGAATCACCTGCAAGTATGTGATTTTTGAAGGACAGTATGCTGATGCGAGATTCGCCAACAACCAATTTCATTGTGCTCGCCCGATGGAATTTGCATGGCACATTGTTGAGAAGATGATCTCGCAAGGAGGATGCAGCCTCTTCCTCCTGATATGACAGGCATCATGGACTACATGTATGAATTGGACTTCAGAAGAGCCCAAATGGTACAGTACTGTTCTCTCACCCTTTTGAAATGTTGGAGAGACACAGCCCTGTGAAAGGAAGGACATCTTCATTGAGTGCATCTATGGTTAGTGAGGGAAATGATTATGGATAGCAGCTATGACTTTGACTCCAATGAAGGACAGATATTGATGGATGCTTGGCATGGTTATTGTTGCCACTGGTATGACTACAACAACAAATTTTCCTTTCAGGTTTTGGTTTCCATGAGTCAGAGTTTTGTTGATGATTGCATTGAAGACCTGACAACCTTGATTCTTGCAACCACACAATGCTTACATTGTGGAAATTTTATGTAAGTTACTGGCTAAATTAGAAATGAATTTGGTGATCTAAACATTGATTGCTTGTTGCTACTTCCCATACCCAGTCAATCTTGATTGGCAATAGGCATCATGTGGTGTCTTCCTCTCCTGTTGAGTCAACCAACTGGCAGTATCTCTGACAGCAACCATTCGGTGGGGTGCTGGAAAGGAGATGGCAGTATTGGTTGGAATTGCTGCTGCATTATGCAAGTTGCATCATTTGAATCTGGTGTTGTTGCTGATAGAGAATCAGGTTACCAATGTAATTGTTTGTTGTTTGTGCTACAGGAGGAGCTGCTTGTGGTGGTGGATTGGGTGGTGGAGGTTGGAGCTGTGGAACCGGTTGTGGTGGTGGAACCGGTTGTGGTTGTGGAACTGGTTGTGGTTGTGAAGCTTCAACTGGACTGGTGCACAATGACACAAGCAACAATCATTTGGTGAGTACTTCTGCCTGTGAGTTTTGAATCCAACAATGAAGTCTGAAAAGAATCGCTCTCCAGTGTCCTTTGGCAATGGCTCTGCATTTGGAAATGGCTTCATCCAACCACAGCCACTGCTGTCATTAGGTAAGCCAACTCTGAATGTTCCATATGGAACAACCTTCTCCCTCCAGCTGGAATTGACTTCTTTCTGTCACACTGATTCTTGACAGGAAGGCTCTCTTGTGGCGAATCTTGAGGTTGTATCTAGCAGTGCAGCAAGGTTGAGTGCATCGCAAGGCTCCTCCTCATTCCACCATTGCCAAAGTGGGCAAACTGTCATGGAAAGCCTCTAACTTTGACTCTCCTCTCCTTGATAGGTACTCTGGAAGATTGTGCTTGGAGTTTGGAGAA